TTTTTTTTACAGAAGGATGTCGTTAGATTTATTTCTTTCGATTAATAAAGTTACCAAGAATCTTACTTTGAACTTTTTTTTAAAACAACTGATACTCTTTTCTCTTTTATCGATAAATCAATTATTTAAGTACAAATTATTTACAAATTATCTTTCTTTTTGATGTGCTGATTTTTTTTTCTTCATATTTTATATATTATTCTAATAGTTACTCACGAAGACAAAAGGCTGCCGGAGGATATTTTTCACAGAGCCTACATGGCGGCCTGGTTGTTCAGATTGTTAAGATTCAGCAATTACTTGCCGGAAAACGTGAAAACCGCCGATTCAGCGGACAGTAGATTGTCAGACGAGGAACTGTTTATCGCGGGACTGCTGTTACACAATTTGCAGTTATTGCAATTCAATTCGCACGAGGTAAGAACGACGCGTGATACAACATAATTCGCTCGTACTTGATTATTGCTTGAAAAACGTGCGTCATTGTATCTGTTCCCGCAATTACTGACCGTTAATTCGTTTTCTAGATTTCCGAACTGGTAAGGCCGAAAGGGGAGAAGACACTTGCTAAGGCCAAGAGCGTGTTCATAGGCGGTGGCGTTTATCCTACGGTGGCGATGCTGAATCACTCGTGCAATCCTGGCGTAGTTCGGTAAATAATGCTCTATTCTCTCCCGTCGTTTTATATAACTTTTATATAACGGTTTATATAACGTTTTATATAACTGTGTATTATTATTAACTATACAGACTAAACTAAAAATTTTTAAATCCGAGATATTTCATCGGCACCACCATGATCGTACGCGCTGTTCGCACAATCGGCGCAGGTGAAGAGATCTCTGAGAACTACGGTCCTATCTTCACAACCACGTCCGAGACTGAGCGGAAAAGAAAATTGAGGGTGCAATATTGGTTCGATTGTAGTTGCGAGGCGTGTTCGGGGCACTGGCCACTTCTAGATGAATTGGACCCAACAGTGCTCAGGTATTTATCAACTTTCTCAGATGCAGTTTCAGGTTGTGTAATCGATATTGTTGATATTGTTTGGTTATTTTTTTGCGCATAATAAGCGAATCTATTAATTAATATTATT